GCTCTCTGCCTGCCGCAGCTGGTTTCCATAAGCCAGATGAGTGCGGCTGCAGCGGCCTCCCAGCCCTGGCTGTGGGGCTCCGCGTGGGGCCTGCCATGGGGCAGCGGGGCTGCCTCATCCCCATGGGCACCCCAGAGCATCACGGCTGGGCCTGAAGCTGGGCGAATGGGACAGTGGCAATGTCTCAGTGTTGGGGGGCAGCCAGGGGCAGGAGCTGGTTCTTCACTGCCTGGAAGCATTCCCAACCAACTCTAGCACCTGGATCCATTTCTGGAGTGCTATGGCCAGGGCTGCCCTTGCTGCACGGCCACCTCCTTTCCCTGGGTCCCCCTGACATTGTCCTGCAGCAGATGCCACTGGCCCCTGGGTGTCCCCCAGCTGTACTTTCCCAGGGAAGAGGGTCCTACCCGGTAGGTGGGGGCTGGTGGGGGCTGGACACGGAGCAGCAGGCAGGTAGACAGGTTGATGTTGCTGTTACGGTAGCAGCTGAGGTCCTGGCACCCCCAGACCAGCTTGTAAATCTCCAAGCACGCCAGCCCGGCCACAGCTGCTGTGGTGGTGATGATAGCAGGCACGATCCGTCCAGCAATTCGCTTGCTCTGAGGACAGGAGGGGCGTCACCAGCTGCTCCACACAGGACAGGGACTCCTGACACTACAGGCTGCCCCTCTCACCATCATCCAGGTGGCAGGAGAGATGCCATAGTTCTCTGCACGCAGGTTGGATGCTGCTGTGATAAAATCTATGTGGACATCGTTGTCCTGTGGGGAAGAGTGGGGAGATATCTGCATTCCATGGGGACATCAACCCCCCCCAGGCTGAGCAGGGACAGCTGCCTTGCTCTGCTACCTTCTCAAAGTGGATGGGCTCCATTAAGGGTGCTTGTGCCTTCTCATCCCCCAACAGCTCCTGTCTCCACTGTACCAGGTCCTGGGTAAGCTCTGTCAGCTGCTTGTGATCTGGGGGCACGGGGACCCCTGGTGTGACACTCCTGCACAGTGGCACTGCAGGGGTGACCCCACCTTGGTCTTGCGTCATCTTGGGTGCTGGAGCAGGGACAAGAAGCCCAGCCCCACCACCACCAGGCTGGAGCCAGGAACATCCCTGGGAACCTCAGGGAAGCTCACCTGTGGGAACTTGTGCCTCCTCTGTGGGTTCCTCTGTGAGGGGGATCTGGAGCCCCTCCTGGGGTACAAAGGGTGGCAGGACCACACCACGGAGGATGGCCTGGATGGCTGCCCGGTCCCTGCATGGTGGCACTCTGTGTACTTGGGCAAAGAGGTGGGCAGCGGCCAAGACATAGTCCAGGTGGGTGTCCTGCAAAGTAGAACAGGGCTGGCCATGGGGTGCCTTGCTGGGGTGGTCCCACACAGCCAAGGACTGCCAGCACTGCCCTGAGCTGGTAGAACTGCCTGGCTTTGCCCCAGAGCAGAGGTGGAGGAGCCTCTCCTCCTCCTCTGGTCACAGAGCATGTCCCCTGCAGTGCCCTCACTGACTGGGGGACAGGGACAGACCCAGCCCAGGACCTGGCAGCCCCACACAGGCTGTGGCAGATGGAGCACAACTACAGTTCAGTATTCCCTGTGTGCCCAGCACAGGCTTGGCTCTTCCTCTGCCCACACCATTCCTGTGTGAGACCCCACAGCTCTCCCTGCACTCACATTGTCAGGGTTGAATGTCAGTGGATGAGGACAGCTCCTTTCCCCTGCCCAGAAGGGGACACCCGGGCTGGTTTCCTGGCACAGAGAGAGGAGTCAGGCCCAGGAATGTGCATCCCTGCCTGCAGTGAGGTGGCCGGTGGAGGGAAGGGCATGCAGAGGGTGCCAGCCCTGCGGTGCTAGGCTCACATGCTCTGGGGGGTAGATGTGCAGCAGCTGGGTGATGGCATCGTGGTAGCAGCTCTGCCAGCGCCGGCGTGCCCAGCGCACACAGTCCTGCCAGTCCCGCGGCCGCTCCCGCAGGCTGTCCCACACCTGCTCCAGCACCTTCCCTGGTGGCTGCTGCTCCAGGAAAGCTGGGTCCCTGCAAAACCAGGCAGCTGCTGATGCTGACCCAAGAGCAATCCTGTGAAACACCTGGGTGGGATGCGGCAGTCTGGCACCCTCTCCCCGCTCCCAGCAGTGACCTGGCAGAGCTGGAAGCTCTTCTCCCAGCATCTTCACCCCCAAAGCCCACTCACTCCATGAACTGGTTGACTTGTTCTGCAGGTAGCTGGAAAAGCCCCTCAAACTCATCACGGGCCCACTGCAGAGGAGAAATGGGTGTTGAGCACTGGAACCTCCCCCTTATGCCCCCAATCCCAGGGGAAGGGGGAGGCTCTGGCAGGGCCAGCAGCAGCACTCAGGCTGCCAGCAGGAAGCAGCTGGGGCCATATCCTGCCTGTAGCCCACCACTGCAGGGGAAACAGGGAAGGAAGACAAAGGTCCTGGTGCCTTTTTGCTGGGTGCTGTGGCTGGGGCAGCTCAACCTACCTGCAGCGTGTGCTGGATGGTGCGGGGGAAGGTGCCATCCCTGGGAGTGGCTGGCTCCAGAGGCTTGGTCAGGGATGGCACCATGGCCACCACGTTCCCCTGTGTCCCCTCCGTGCCCGAGTCCAGCAGTGGTGTGCGGCAGCGGAGACAGCGACTCTCCAAATAGGTGCCTGCAGGGAGCCAGGACTGCTGGGGACCCAGGGAGTGTGTCCAGGGGCTCGGCCCCCTTGCCCTTACTGGCACTCACGGGCCTCTATCGTGTCCAGGGCGCTGGCAACGCCATCCAGGTGCTGGAAGAAGTTGTCCCTGTAGAGCATCTCAGTGGCAGGTCCCACCTGGTTCTGGTGAGCTGTCACTCTGACATCAGGGTTCATGCGCTGCACGGCTGCTGCTGCCACCACCGACTTTGGCTCCTGCCAGGGCAGAGAGGGTGTGAGCAGCCCTAGGGACAGCCGAGATGCCCTTTGGGGGGAGCTCAGCCTCTGCCTCATGCTGCCTCACTGATATATCTGCTGAGCGATAGAGAAACTGCCGATGGAGGTTGGAGAGGGCAACAGTGTCCATGTCAGTGACGATGAGTTCCCCGTCCGGCCCCGCTGCCAGCCCCATCATGGCAAAGTTTTTCAGCAGCTCGCAGCCGATGGCACCAGCTCCCACCTGCCAGGGCAGAGATGCTGCAGTTCCCCGTGTGCCAGCCGGATGCTCCGCAGCCTCCCAGTGCCACAGCCCCTGCCCACTCACCACCAGGTACTTCTGCTGGCCCAGCTTCTCCTGGAAATTGGCCCCGAAGACGGCAATCTGGCCATCGTAGCGAGAGCCTCTCTGCCGGGACAAGGAGCTGTGTGAGCACAGCAGCCACGGCACCCCGGGAGGGGCTGGACACGGGGTCTCACCGGGGCACAGTCGGTCT